TGTGCTTTCCTCCTGCGCTTTGTCGAGGTCAAATACCTTAAGACACATCCCTGACTGCTGCGGGGATATCTGTTCATCTTCTCCGACAGTGACGAGGAAGTTCCTTTGCTATTATCCCAAACAAAAAAAAAAACGATAAGAGCAAATTATTCGTAGCTTAAAAAAAGAAAATTATCCACAGCTGGAACTAAAAAACCCGTGCATTTGAAAGCGCATAAACACGAGCAATTTTATTTCCCAAAACACAGAGCCAAAATCACAACAAAACTGAAGCTAAAGTTAGCGAAGCACTCTTACTTCCTTCACTGATGATAAGCCAGTCAGTATAACAATGACAAGTCAAGCTAGTCCCGAAGGCAATTTCATGCGGGAAAATAGCAAAATCTACTACAAAATTGTACAACTGCTGAATGGATTCACCACTGGAAACAGACAAATTACATTTGAGTCTCGATTTCCGAAACACAAGGCTAACAAAAAAGTGAATTCACAACCAAACTGAAGCTAATTGTAGAGAAGCTTCATAGTTCCTTGGTTGATGATATGCCATTCAGAATAACAAACGACAGGTCAAGCGAGTCTCGGAATCAAATTTCGTGGCGAGAAAGGAGCAAAGTCTACTGGAAAACTGTAAACTGAGGAAGGGATTCACAACTGGAAACAGACGAGTTGCATTTGAGTCTCGATTTCCAAAACACAAAGCCAAAGAAAAGTGAAATTACAACCAAATTGAAGCCAAATTCGTTGATGATTCACTGTAACAAATGACATGTCAAGCGAGGCTCGGAATAAAATCAAAGAAAAGTGAAATTACAAAAAAGAAAAACTGAAGCCAAAATGTTGAGAAGCACTCACAGTTCCTTCGTTGATGATTTAGTGTAATGGTTCAGTGTAACAAACGACAATACAAGCAAGTCTCGAATCAAATTTGTGGTGAGAAAAAAAAAGCAAAATCTACTGGAAATTTGTAAAACCGATGAACGAATTCGCAACTGGAAACAGACGAATAGCATTTGAGTCTCGATTTCCAAAACACAAAGCCAAAGAAATGTGAAACTACAACCAAATTCGTTGACGAATCAGTGTAACAATGACAGGTCAAGCGAGCCTCACAATCAAATTCGTGGCGAGAAAACAGAAATAGCTACTGGAGATTGTAAAATTGATGAACCAGATGATCAACAAAAGAAAAAAGAAAAAATGGATGAATAGGAGAATTTGGGGGGAACCTTGAGATGCTGAAGGAAGAGAACGGAGGAAGAGTGAGCTTGGAAACCAGAATCGAACTTGATACCGCGATCGAGGAAGCTGACGGATCCGTCATCGGAGCCGATGACGACTTTGCCACGGCCACTAGAACAGCATTGAATCTCTCCGGTGACATCCTCAGGTATTTTGCCTCCGTATTTTTCCTCGAAGAAGTCGAATTTCCTCCACTGGTACATCTCTTCGAATCGAGAATCCGCAAGATCGTGTAATCAATTGATTCGAATCCGCAAGATCGTGTAATCAATTTGGCTCTGGACTTGTGTGTGTGTGTGTGTTTTTTTTTTTCGTTTTTGGGTTTTTCGTTGATTTGGGAGATCACATGAGATATCGACAGTTAACCGTAGACAGCAGAATCGGTTGAACCGTAGACGGCAGAATCGGTTAAATGGTACAACCTACATGAACAATTTATTAATTAATTGTACATAACATAAGCATACCTTAATTTTTTTTTATTTACATATCCAACCGACAAACTCTTTGAATTGATCTAAAGCTTTATGAAATAGTTTGATTAAACCTTGCTGAGAACCAGATATTTTACTTCTCAATAGGTTTTGCCTTTTTTGCTTAGTGAAGAACTATCCGAGGAAAGCTTCTTTATATTCAGCTCAAGAAGTGATCGAATGCATGAAAGTTATTTCATCCATCAAAGTGCTTTGGTCGTCAACAAGAAAGTGAAAAGTTTATATCTGATATAGTCCTCAGAAAGTCTGTTAGCACTAATGGTGATGCATATTTCTCCAATTGAGATAGTCCTCAAAAATTGGAATAGGACAATTATATACGTTAGACCGTTATTACCTGAAGACTGAAGTTATAAAAAATCTAAAGAAGTTTCTCCATAAAGGTTTTTGTACATTTCATTGTAGAGGTGACAATCAGGCCTGGACGTCATAATTTTTGTCCATTAAGAAGTAGGCTTCGCGGATTGATATACTGCAGTTTGCAGGTTAAATGAGGTAATCCGAACGTGCGGGTTTGCAGGTTTACCTGTAAATGGATTTGTCAAAAAAAAATTAGATTGTGTTAGGAAGAAATAATCATCACCGCTGGATTGATTTGGAAGAAACAATCTTTAATATTGGTAAAATAAGTAAAACTTTCTGCTACTACTAGAGTCTCTTTCAACTTAATAAAAGAACCTACACGAAGCAGCCAAGTAGGAAACTCAAAAGTCAAAAGACCCACAATATTAGAACTGAAACAGAGCCTCTACTGTCACAGAAACATAATCTACTTTTGATCGAGTCTCTACATAAAGCTAAATTCAATAGATCAGTCATCTTTAATGGTAAGTTGTTTATTTTCTAATATTGTTTTATGGTTTATCAATTTTATAGATTTTGCCATGGTTATATAAGTTTTTGCAGTAACTAGAATTAAAATCTCTTAATTAGGATGTATAATTCCTTTCTTTAATGTCTCTTGTATACTCTGTATATATTCAGAGGTTTTTCATTCAATAAGATTATGCAATTCCATAAACTTCATATGGTATACCATAAACCTCATATGGTATACCATAAAACTTATTTATATCTACATCCTTCGTTTGTAATAGTAGCATAAGTTGGCTTATTTGAAAGAGGTAAACAATAGCCATGATCATTTTAAAATTAGAAAACTATTTAACAATATGTGGCATTGTGACAACGTGCAAATGTAATATTAAAATATAAAAATATGTTTGCATAACATGAAATTTAATAATGGTTAATGCTTTTGTTGTTATAAACAAGGTTCACGAAGTTGTGCCGATGTGGAATCTCAAAAAATTATTGATCCTCTTAATGCTGAAAATGAATAAGTTTCGTTTGATGGAGCGGAATCTTCTAAACTTCCTAAGAATAAAAGACCAGTCTTAGAGGTTGAAGATGATGATGATGGTAATGCCGAAGAAAAAGGAAAGTCATCAAAACCGAAAAAGAAAAAGAAGTATTCAGAAGTATGGGGACATTTTGACGTCATCACTAAGGTTGATAGCTCAGGAAAACCTGAAGAAAGAGCACAATGTAAGCATTGCAAGAGAGACTATGCGTATGATCCACACAAAAAACAGTACAAACATTTATAGACGCCATCTTCTTACATGCAAGCTTATGCCGAGAAATGCTGATGTTCGTCAAATGCTGATCAATTCAGAAGCAATATTGCAGTATAAGAAGATAGATCATGCTGTTTTTCGTGAAAAGTTTCTAAGAGTATTACTCAGTATAATCTCCCATTTTTTTATGTTGAATATGAGGGAGTTAGATCCGTGTGGGAGTATTTGAATGCAGATATAAAGTTTATCAGCAGAAACACAGCTGCAAAAGATGTTTACAAGTTCTATAAGAAAGAGATGGAGAAATTAAAAAATGAATTACGTCATCTTTCAGGAAGGATTTGTTTCACTTCTGATTTATGGTCTGCTATCATGAAGGCTACATGTGTTTGACAGCACATTATGTGGACAGAAACTGGAATTTAAAGAGCAATATTTTAGCATTTTTTGCTTTACCGCCTCCACATTCAGGTAAGCATTTAGCAATGAAACTTCTTGAGAAATGGGAGGAATGGGGAATTGACAAGAAAATGTTCTCTCTTACTATACACAATGCAACCAGGAATGATTCCATGTAAGACACTGTGAAATCTCAGTCTGTGTTGCGAAATGATTTGTTGTGTGGAGGAGAATTTTTTCATGTGAGATGTTCAACACATATTCTTAACCTCATTGTTCAAGACAGGCTGAAGGTGCTTGGTCATTATTTGCATAAGATCAGGAAGAGTATATCAAATATGTTGAAGCTTCAGGAGGTATTGTTTGAAAAGTGTGTGGAAATGTTGGTATAAAATACAAAGCTGGTCTGGTGTTGGATGTGCCTACTAGATGAAATTCAACATATAAAATGCTTGATATGGCTCTTAAGTATCGAGCTGCTTTTGCTAGTCTGAAATTCATTGATGGGGAGAACTACAAGTTTCACCCTACAGAAGATGAATGGAAACGAGTGAAGGAGATGTGTGATTTTTGGAGCCATTTGATGAGATAACTCGTCTTATATCAGGTTCTATATATCCAACTTAAAACTTGTATTTTATGCAAGTTTGGAAAATCAGAAATTGGTTGACAGAGAATGAGAACATGATTATCCCTATGAAGAAGAAGTTTGATAAGTATTGGGAAGAAGTTAGCGATATTTTTGCAATAACAATAGTGTTTGATCCAAGGTTTAAGCTATTACTTGCAGAATATTGTTTCTCAAAAGTTGATAGTAGTTCTTGTGATGCAAAGTTACTGTATTTACGTGGTAAACTCTGTACTTTTTGAAGCATATGAGAACAAGTCAAAATCAACATCACCTTCTTCGGACACATGTGATACTCTCCAACAGCAGAATAAGGACGAAGAACAAAGAGGAAATTTTATGAGTTATAATGTAAGTAGTTCGTTCTCTGGTATTTAATATTTGGTTTACGTTACCATTTACGTTATTATTCTTATTATTTTGAGAAAGTCAATATATGTAGGCTGCACCTGATCAGCTAGAATCAGTAAACCGATTTTTGTTTACAAGACTGGCTTAGAGCATGAACATCGCACATATCTTTCGCGTCTCCTGTTAATAAAAAACAATTTTTTTATCAAAAACGCGTCTCTCAAAAAGTTGGAACGTCGCTTAAAATAAAATTATAAGAGACCGTATTGACAGACACGTGTGATTATGTGATTGGCAAATGAATTTGGGGGAAAATTTTTTCTCTTTTCCTTCCTCTTTTCCCCGACCCATTTTGCCTCGTCTTCTCCGTTTTTCTCGTCGATGGCGAGGACAACCTTTTGGTGGCGAATCTCTGCGGCATCGTCGTTGGGAGGCCAACAGCAGAGGATCGAGACGCCTAGATAAGTCATCTTCTCTTTCCCTTCTGTCTTCTCTTTTTTTTTTTGCAAAATCAATCCGTTCTGAATCAGTTTAATTCTGATCGATTCGGGAATTCTATCTTCATCTGTTCGGGTTTTCGATTCTTTCTTCTTCTGAATTGGTTAGGGATCGAATTATATGATTATTTGATTTATGGGTTTCAATTGGTTTGACTAATTTAGGGTTTTCGATTTGGGATAGAGGGTATGGGCGTTTTATGGTTTTAGTGTTTGCCTCTTGAAATTGAGTTAGGATTTGTTTGATAATGCTTTTGATTACATCGATTAAAGATTTATGTATGGGTGTTTTGTTTTTATGGTTTTGATTACATTGACTAAGGATATAGTATATGGTTTTAGTGTTTGACTCTTGAAATTGAGTTAGGATTTGTTTGATAATGGTTTGATTACATCGATAAAGGATCGAAGTATGGGTGTTTGGTTTTTATGGTTTTGGTTACATCGATTGTTGACTTAGTGTAAATAGAAATTGATTTTGTATTTGGTCATTGTATTTGCTTGATAGGCCTTTTTGTTTGCTTGAGATTGTGTTTGCTGGATTCAGTCAAGATAAGTTTCACTGCATCTGTCTGTATGCATTGATGACTATCTCCAACTCAACTTGTTTATCTTTTGTGGTTGTCTATATGCATTGATGACTATCTCCAAACATTTCAGCTAACCAAACTTGTTTATCTTTGAATGCAGCTCACGAAAAGGGCAATCTTCCAAGGCGAGTGTAGTGGAACAAGTGCAAGGAGTGCAACTTGCGGACAAACCTGGTAAGCTTTTTAATACACTATCTAAATGGTAATAAAGGCTTGTTTAGGTTGTTTGTTAGAGTTGGCATAAGAATGGTTAGATAGGTTTGGTCATAAATGCTTGTTAGAGATAGTTAATGGTAATAAAGGGTTGTTAGAGTTGAGTTGAATGCTCTTTGTTAGGTTAATGTCTCGTCGAAGTGGTTAAGTGTTGATAAATGATTTTTTTTTTCCTTTTGTCTTCTTAAAATAAGACTTGTTTGTTTGAACTTTATTAAACGCAGATACTTGTTTTCCCTTTGATCTTCTTAAAAGAAGATCTTCTTAAACACACACACTACTTCGTGTGTTCTTGTCTTCCTCTCTTCTATTCCTTGTCTTCTATCTCTCTTCTTTATCTTCCATTCCTTGTCTTCCTTGTCTTCTTCCTCTCTTCCATTCCTTGTCTTCCTTGTCTTCTTTCTCTCTTCCATTCCTTGTCTTGTTTCTCTCTTCCATTCGTTGTCTTTTTCCTCTCTTCCATGAAAGAGATGGATACGCACTCTCAAATGTTTCAGAATTCCATCACGGAGAAGGAAGCGGAAGTGCAACTGTAGATCTCGCATATGAAACAGATACTTCAAATCTTGAGAATAGTATGTTTGCAAGAACAAAACTTCGTGATAGACGACAACATGATAAACTGAAAGCCGATTTAATGGAGAATATCTGGCAAAAATTTGGATATTACTAAAATGTCAACTGAAGTTTGTAACAAAATTTATGTTTTAATTCTTTTTATGTTCTTCTCTTAATCTTTGTAATGAAATAATTATCTTTTTTTGAGTAAAATGTTTTTTTTTTAAAACAATTCCAAAGGGTCTCTACAATATTTGATCAAAAACAATAGGTCTCTTATATGGGTATTCAGCTAATATATATTATTAAAATATTACTTAAGAGACTTCATTGAATCTCTACAATGTTCATGGTCTTAAAAAAATACACATTAAATGCCTTTTGTTTCTTGTTTCTAAAAGCATCTCTAATGTATTATTCAATTTTTGTCTCCAAAATTGAGTTCAATTTCTCTCCAACGTATTTATTTATTTTCAACTCAAAAAAAAATATTCTAAATAAATTTTTTCTTTCTTATTTTATATTTAGTTACTAGTAATACACTTTAGTTATAAAATTTACAAATAAACCTGTTTATTATTATTTTTTTAAAAACCTTCATACATTATATTATTATTTTAAATTCAACCATTATAATATAAAAATAACATGACAAATTATTTAAAATAACAAAACAAAGTACATTTTAATTTAAATATCACCATTTTATGTTATTTTTAATTTCAGTTAATAGTTTTTTATTTTGTATTCTTAATTTTTAAATTACTCTATCCTTTCTTTTAAATGAAGTATATATAATATGAAAGACTAAATTATAAAAATATTAAAAATGAAAAAATTATAAAAAAAAATGAAGGACTAATTTATAAATTCAAAAGTTCAACTGCAAAATAGAGTCGAAAATGGAGTTACTCCATATTTGGAGGAAAAAATGGCATTTTCTCACTTTGGAGATGAAAATGGAGTAAGGTTGGAAAATAATTTCCCCAAAAATTGCATTTGGAGTAGGAAATGGGATAGGATTGGAGATGCCCTAATGTAATTTAATTATTTTGTGTAGTTTTTTTTCTCAGATATACAAGCATTTTTTTTTTCAGATATGCATCATTGTGTCATTTTTGAATTTCTTGGAGGATGATGAAGAATTTGAAGATGGAGGATGAAGATATAGATTAGGGAACTTAATTTGCATTAGAGAGAATGATTACATATTTATAGTACATACACGAGAGGGTTTACAGCTAACTATTTACTAATATAACCTTTACATAAATATCTCCTACACGCCCCTTCAAGATGGAGGGAGTTCAATCACTCCAATCTTGTCATGCAATTCAAGAAAACGAGGCTTGGGAAGAGGTTTCGTGAGAGCATCTGCTAGCTGATCTTTCGTGGATACATGAGAAACACGTAGTGTGCCGGACTGGATATTCTCCCGGATGAAATGGTAGTCAAGTGCCAAGTGTTTCATGCGTGAATGGAAGAATGGATTGGCCGAAAGTCTGGTAGCTCCGACGTTGTCACAGTAGATTACTGGTGGCGAGTTCAGAGTGACACCAAGTTCAGAAAGAAGAGAACAAACCCAGAGTAGCTCAGAAGTAGTGTTCGCAACCGCTCGGTAATCCGCTTCAGTGGAAGATCGGGCTACCCCCTTTTGCTTCTTAGAGGACCACGAAATGGGTGTAGTGCCTAAGTACAGGATGTACCCGTTCGTGGATACAAAATCGTCGACATCCCCTGCCCAGTCTGCATCGGAGAATGCGTGTAATGACAGTGGGGAGTTAGCACGAAGAAAAATACCTTTGCTGGTAGTACCCGCAAGATACCTCAGAATCCTCTTAGCCGCTTGCCAATAGATATCCGTCGGAGAATGCATAAACTGTGATAGCCTATTTACCGCATATGCGATATCCGGTCGAGTCAATTGCAGGTACTGAAGACTTCCTATGACTGCACGATATTCTCGGGGATCTGAGAGAGGAGTGCCGAGAGTAAGAGATAACTTCGGCGTTGGAGCCATAGGTGTTGAGACAGGCTTAGCATCAAGCATCTTGACTTTGCTGAGAAGATCAATAATATATTTACGCTGCATTAGATGTAAGCCTTTTGAAGTTCGAGTTGCCTCAATGCCCAAGAAATACGTCAAGTCAGTCGGTTCTTTCAAAGAAAAACGTGTAGAGAGTAGACTGATGAATTGAGAAACAAGAGAGGGCTTACTTCCAGTGATAATTATGTCGTCCACGTAGACCAACGTATAGACAAGATCGTTACCACTGATGTATATGAACACTGAGGTATCAGCGAGGGAGTTTTGGAAGCCCACCCCGACGAGATATGTTCGCAGCTCCTGGTACCAAGCCCGCGGTGCTTGTTTGAGGCCGTAAAGAGCCTTTCGCAAGCGACAAACATGATGCGGATAATCCTTGTCGACAAATCCCTGAGGCTGGGTGACATATACCTCTTCATTCAAGCTTCCTTGGAGGAAGGCATTATTGACATCCAATTGTCGAATAAGCCAGCCATGACTAACCGCAAGTTGCAGAACTGTCTGAATTGTAACCGATTTCACCACTGGGCTAAAAGTTTCTGCATAGTCAATGCCATACGTCTGGTTGAACCCACGAGCTACCAATCTCGCTTTATACCTGTCAATGGAACCATCAGGGAGATATTTTATCGTAAAAATCCATTTCGTCGGAATGACATGTTGATTCGGTCTGGGCGGCACCAAATCAAATGTGTGGTTTCGAGTTTGGGCATTCATCTCCTGACTCATGGCATTTCGCCATTTAGGATCTCGCAACGCCTGGTTTACGGTAGTGGGTATGGTTGGTGTGGTGGTGATGGCTGTAAGGGTAAGTTTGGAATTGGGTTTGGTAATATTGTTTTTCCGGCGAGTTTGCATTGGGTGAGTATTGGTTTAGAGTGGTGGTCGGGAAGTTATTGTCGGGTTGGGGATTGCAGGAGCAGGTGATTGTATTTGTGGAGAGGATATGGTGGTGTTATTAGGTGGGCCGAGATGTGTGTTTGGTGGGGAAGATATTTGATTTGGGCCTGGGTGAATAGAGCCTGTAGAATTCTCATTTAGACCCACATTCGATGTGGTTGGTTCATCGTCATGTTCCGAAGAGACATGACTCACCGGATGTGTCACAACAGAGGGCACTGGATGTGACCGTCGAGCCTGCTGTGACGTGGGAAGAACCGAGGTCAGGGGCGCGTGCTGCTGAGTCTGTACGAGTGGCGGTGTAGGAAGCGGGATAAATGTGGGTGAGGCGTGGTTGGTTTGGAGGTCATCGGTGGTATCTGGATCTCGCGATGTCAGTGGATTTGTCGCAAAAGGGAATTGGGTTTCCACAAACTGCACATGGCGTGAGGTATAAATTCGAGAGTGAGCTCTATCAAGGCAGAGATAAGCACTTTGACTGAGAGAGTAGCCGAGGAACACACAAGGATTTGAGCGATCGTCGAGCTTATGATTTGTGTATGGCCTGAGCCATGGGAAACACAAACATCCGAAAACCCTGAGCTTCATGTAATTCGGGGCTTCCTGGAAAAGCTTGGTGTATGGAGAGAGATGGTTAAGGACCGGCGTTGGTAAACGATTGATCAGGTAGACCGCCGTCGCAAAGGCATACGGCCAGTAAACTTTCGGAATGGAGGCTTGATGAAGCAAAGTGAGTCCCGTCTCGACAATGTGTCGATGTTTACGCTCAGAAATCCCGTTGTGCTCGGGTGTATGTGGTGGAGACGTCAGATGGGAGATGCCATGGTCAGTCAGAAAAGATCGTAAGGCGAGGAATTCTCCTCCATTGTCGGTGTATAGAGTACCGATTTTGTGCTTGAAACGATTCTCCACGAGATTTTTGAAGGCAACAAATGTCTCCTTGACTTGCGATTTCAGCTTCAACGGATAGAGCCACGTATATCGGGTGTGGTGATCTACAAGAACCAGATAATACTTGTAGCTATCAATCGACATTATAGGCGACATCCAGACATCAGAATAAACATATTGGAGAGGGTAAGTAGAAGAAATGGTATTGGTATAAAATGGCAACTTGTGGCTTTTATTAATGAGACAATGAGAACAGGGATTTTGTTTTTGCATAGAATCAGAAAAAAGGTAAAGAAAATTTGGAGACAATGGTTTGTAAAATAGGTGGAGATGGGTGGCCAAACCGGGAATGCCAAGAGGATAGAGTCGTTTTTGGTGATGGTGAGGCAAAGAGTATGGTATTTTGGGATGTAAGTGGCCACTCGTACAGCTCTTTGTTAGTTCTGCCTTGGAGTAATCGGGCCCCCGTTCTCAAGTCCTTCACCTGAAAATGAGCAGGAAAGAATTCCACAGACACCTGGTTAGTATTACACAATCTGTAAACAGATATAAGGTTCTTATGGACATTGGGAACATAAAGGACATCATTTAGTTGCAGAGATTTAGTGGGTGTAGGTAAGGAAGTAAAACCAGTGTGCGAGATCGGGAGTCCAGAACCATCAGCTATGGTTACTTCCTCACCACCATTGTAGAGATGATGCAGAGAGAGATTGTTCAAGTCTGTAGTGAGGTGGTGAGTGGCGCCACTATCGAGGACCCAGTTATTAGCACCAGACGAGGATGCTGCGGCCAAATTAGCCCGAGGCTGCCATGACCCCGAACTGCTCTGAAACGGTCGTGGAGATGCACTGTACGAGCTGCCTTGTTGTTGTAGCTGAGAGCATCGGCGAGCACTGTGTCCATAGGTGCCACAAAGTTGACACTTTCCCTGATAGCCCCGAGGTGAGAACTGATCCTGACGAGGCGAGAATTGTTGCTGTTGTTGCCAAGTCTGTTGATTGCGGTTGTTGTTTTTGCCTCGGTAATTGTTGCCAGATTTGTTGTTGTAGGACGAGGTTTGCACCTGAGCCGCATTCGCAGTGATCGGCGATGAAGAGGCTGTCTTCACTACTGTTTGAAGCTTAACTTCATGATTTAAGAGTTTCTCATGGATCTCTAAGAGAGATGGAGGCATGTCACGGGCCTCAATCTGATCGGCGACCGACTTGTAGTCTTCCGGAAGTCCACGAAGGATATAATCGATCTGATCCTCCAGATCTAGGGGTTTGCCAAGAAGGGCGAGCTGATCGAAACGAGTAGTGAACCCCTGCATGTATTCGTGGATCGTCTTCGATCCTTTCGACCATTCGCGGATCTGGTGGCGAATTTGCTGCATGTGGCCTCGACCTGTGTTGGCATAGATCGTGTTGAGAGTGGTCCAGACCTCCGACGAGGTCTTGGCAGTGGCTAGGAGCGGCTGGATGGTCATTGTAATAGCACCAAGGAGTGCGCTATAAATGAGTTTGTCTTGTCTTCTCCACACCGTGTACTCAGGATTTGGTGTGACAGCACCTGCGACCGTAGTTGTAGCAGGTGGAACAGCTGTTGTGCCATCGACGTAGCCGGCGAGGTCGTACCCTTCGAGAAGAGCATGAACCTGACGATTCCACATCAAAAAGTTGGATGTGGTGAGTTTGGTAACATTTTCCATGTTGACATTGATGAGATGATCATTGTTGTTGATCGAGATCGTTTCGCTGGTTGATTGAGGAGATTGAGCCATCGAAAAAATGGGCGAAGAAGATTTTGAAAAATAAAGTTGGCGGCTGAAAAATTTAGGTTTCTTGGGATCGCTGCTCTGATACCATATAGATTAGGGAACTTAATTTGCATTAGAGAGAATGATTACATATTTATAGTACATACACGAGAGGGTTTACAGCTAACTATTTACTAATATAACCTTTACATAAATATCTCCTACAGAAGATTCTGTTTTTATTTTTTTATTTTTTTTTATGTAGAGGAGGATGAAGAATTTGAAGATGGAGATAAGACATTACTTTCTTTTGAGTCAATTGTTAATTATGAAGATTGATATTTATTGCTGCTTGAGTTTGAGTACATGAGTTTTCTTATAAGATTTCTGGGAGTTCTTGCGTGAGACTAAGTTTACTGTTACTGTATCGTTTGTTTGGAGTATTTTGTTTTTATTTTTTTTAATCTTATAAATCATTACAATGGTTTTCTTGAATTTTTTTGTCAGTTCTTTTGTTTTAATTTGCTGGCTTCCTTGATTATTTATCCTCAATTGTCGATATCACCATTAACATAAATGAGAAACAAATTGGACCATATGAATTTAGAAAACACTAAAAAATTTAATAAAATTTAAAACTTTCGATAAATAGATTAATTATATATTTTTAGCTTGCAAGCTAGTCCGTTTATCCATTGGACTTAGCAGGGCGGGTTTGGACATAGTTTTATTGTCTGCAATCTTAGCGGGCTGGCCCATCAAAAACCATAAAAAATAAATCCGCAGCAAATCTGGCCCATTGGACGCGGAGTGGCCCGTTTGATACCTCTACTCCATTGTAACATGTTAAAAGGGAAAACGACCTATTCTCCCATGAACTTTATGCTTCCTGATAACCCATAAACGAACTATTGAACAATGCCTATAGCTACATGAACTACCTAATGATTTGAATTTCCTACATGAAATATTGAAATGCGGCCAATTTCACCAAAACTGTAAATAGTATGAGTTTTCTGTCAATGATTAGTTACATGGCTGACATGTGGCAATTCGGTTTGGTTCGATATGTGATTGGTCGATTTAACAGCTCAAAACGACGTCGTTTTGGTGGTTTTATTTTTTTTATAAAAAAATAGGAATTTCTGGGATTCGATCTCTGAATCTCCAAGCCAAAAGCGGATCCCTTTACCAACCGAAATAAAAAATTAATATGATTATAATTACGTAAATACTATTCATATAGAAATTTGGTGTTCGCTGCTTTCTTGTGTGTGTTACTCTTTGTGGATCACGGCGACAAACATAATCGCCAGCACCAATGAATAGACTGTTGACTGATTCAAAATGAAATATAGATGTATGGTTTTAGGCAGTGGGTAGTATTTCATTAACCAGGGTTTTTTAATTTGAGATCCACGAAGGTCAAATCCTTTGAAAAACAGCTTCAGATCCACAAAGCTCTCTAATTCCTTGATTTTCTTCTCGCTGTGGTACTCGTCGGTCTCACAATTGTGATCTAAGGGAGGAAAAGGCTGTTATCAGCGATGGGACCAATGGTCCATGCTTACCTGCGGAGAAGAAGTCGTCCTCGTAGGGGCCAACGTGCGTGAGCTGGAGAGTAAACATTGATTAGGGTTCATCCCTGTAAGAAATCAAATAAGAAAGCTCGATTTAGGACAAAACATCTGAACACCAAATGTCTATATAAATAATATTAGATAATTACAGTCAAAAAATTGTTTAGTTTAGTTGGTAGAGCATTTAGCTGTAGGCTAACAGTTTCGGATATTGAATCCTAGAATTCAGTTATTTGTTTTTATTTTTAAAAAGACTAACACAATATATTAAATAAAAAAAACTCGAACAAATCTTATATCAGAGTAAACCGATGTTACTAATTATTGACGGATAATTCACAGTTTGTGGCTTTATTGTAATTGACCAAATAATTTAAGTCTACGTAGCTATAGGCATGGTTCAATAGTGCGTGTATGAATTATTAGGAGGTATAAATTTTATGAGGGAATATATCGTTTTCTCCATGTTAAGATGTAGTAAGTATTTAAATGCACTCAAGCAATTGGATTACACTGAAGTTATCCAAATTACACGAAACAAAAGTAAAAGTGATCTTTAAAAAATTCTACAGTAATCATTTAAAATACACATATATTTTTTTCATTTAGAAACTTGTGCTTTTTTTTTAAACAAAGTAAGAGATGACTCTGTCTTGTTAATAAAACAAAGCATACTTTTTGGGTAATACTTCATCAGCCTCTCGCGCCGATGTTTCTAATAAATTTGGACAAATACTATTACGAAATAATCAAATCATAATGATTTCCAGGTTCAGATTCTTAGTGGTCTATAGCAATAGAAGTTTGGACCCTGAAATTTAAATTGTAACAGAATTCATTGAGTACCAAGATGTAACTCATAAACAAAAAAATTAAGCCTCATCACATGTTCAAGAAGTGAACTACGTGTGAAAGATGAATGAAATGAAGGTATATGTAATATATATAGTTGATTCATGAGTTTAGTGAACGTTCATCATCTGTTGTGGATTGGAAGACAACTAGTTATCGTTGACTGTCACTGGATTCTTGAAGTGGAATAAACTCATTTCTTCCAAATTTTGCGTGAGCCACCAAGTCAGGTTTGTAACCCCAGCCTCATATCCGTTATAAACCAAACTCTCTTCTTCATTTTCCATACATGTGAACTCAGAGTTTTGATGGTGATGATGATGGTGATGATGATGGTGATGTTGATGTTGGTGAGTCATCAACATGTTTCTACTTGACATTATGACGAAGACACCATCATGATGATGATTTCCGAGATGTGATATATATATATATATATATATATAAGCTACATCATGAGATTCGGGTTTGTGCTCTGTTGCGCACATAAGGTTGAGGAATGTTGTTGATATGATGTGTTGGAAATTGGATATTTTTTCCATTGTAGAATCCAATTGCTCATTTTCCAGTATACATTCCTTCTTCTTGCAGAGTTACTAAAGTTCGGTTCCTCTCATTTTGATCATTCTGCTTCTTCAGATTTATCCGAAATTTCTAAATATAAAAGAAAAAAAAATGAAAACTTTACATATGTAAAACAAAATAAAGATTCTTCTTTTAATATATTTTATTTTATTAGTATTATTATAGTTATGTTATTTAAATATTTAATTCTATTAATCCTTTAGCTGTATTCATGAACTAGATAAATTGCTGAGATAGGAAAAAAAATTTAACAGTTAGAATAACAATTATAGTAAAAAAAATACTCATGGTTTTCGGATTCAGATTCTTGGTGGCCTATAGTGATAGAAGTTTAGGCCTCAAAACTCGGACTGTAACTGAATCCATTGAGTGGTAAGACGTATCTCATGGTCATCTGCTTTTCAGCGATGATGGTGGCGACATGCCTCAGGGCAAAGGTCACTCTCTGCCGAAAAGACTATCAATTCCTCAGACACTTCTCGTAAAGGCCATTTTCATCAATTTCTAAGACACTTTTCGTATAATTTGGTTAGATTATATAAACGGTCTAAACGGTAGATATCCATTTCATATAGTTTGAACATAATTTTGTATTATTAATTTTCATATTCTAGATTTTTCGGGATGTAGAGAGTACCTCTATTCTTTCTGGTTAATCTGTAGGGGAGTTCAAACCAAATTTAGAGAATGTTCTTAGAGAACTTGGGTATGGAAGTTTACATGGTGAAATCGAAGTTATTATGAAGCTTGGAATAATCAAAGAAGAATTGAGGGACAAAATTAAAAAAAAAAATTTCATAATTTCCACTTTGTCTTCTCCTACGATAGGTGATATTTTTTGGACAGATGTTCATTATCTTGTTAGTTAATATTTAAAATATGTTGCTCTTATATCCTCAGCTAAAAAAAAAAGATGGAGGATGGAGCCTCCGAATGGAGAAAGTAGATCGGACGGTACGAATCCAGCAGTTCAAGTAGATCAAAGACGGATCAAGTGGGGATCAAATAGATCTAACGGTCCAAAATCGATGGTTGAATGGAATAAGCAGTAAATAACATATATATAATTATATATATATGGTTATAATATGTAATAGAATGCTGCTATTTTGAGAAAGTCTCATTACCTCTATTTTTTTCTTTTACATCTGCATATTTTACTTAAGCTCCCACCCAAAATGTTTCTACAAAAAATCCATACTACTCATTCGAGAATAGTTTAGTGAATAGTTACGGCAGATGAGAATACTATTCATGACGATCCAAGCCTCTTCTTTTTTTATCAGTACATGATGTTCGAACAAGTAGCATCCACATGCCCATAATCTTGTGGTTTGAGTCCTGATGCATGTGAAAAAAGTGTTTCAACTGTGTGTGATTCATAAACCAACTCTTCTCCTCCGATTTAAGCGGATACTTTAATTTCTTTAGAGGTGCCTTCACTTCTGCCTTGATATAAGTATAAAACTTTGTAGCGAACTTGATTTTTTTTCTTATACTCATTCAGCTAGAAGTACATCTGCAGGGGTTGCAATGGTTAAGTTTCCTCTTCGGAATCCTGTGACACATAGTTATATGAAATGTTACTTTATGTTTTTCAAAAAAAAAAAAATCTAACATAGTATGTTTTACTAAAACCTAGAAATCAAGAGCGAACCCAAACCCGAAGTTCATAAACAATCCTCAAATCAATAACAAACATGAAATGAAAGGACTAATTGGTTCAACAAACCCAAAAATTTTCAAACATACAAAATCAGGTACTTTTCACAAGTTCTACCTAACTGTTCTATTAAGAATCGATCTACATACCTTTGAATCTGAGTAGTCACCGGAAGTTGCTGCTTTAAAGGCTGTGGGATCTGCTCCCTCTTCATCTACAATCTGGGATGGTCTCTCATCAGATACCAAAAATTTCCAACATACAAAATTCTGTACTTTTTCAAAAGTCTTTCCTAGTTGTTCTATTAAGATTCGATCTACATACCTTTGAAGAAGCTGCTACTTCTAAAGTCGTAGGGTCTGCTTCCGCTTCATCTACAATCCGAGATGGTCTCTCATCAGATCCTTAAACTGGATTTTCTCCTTCAAATGCATCTCTCAAACCAAAATTTGGACCCTTTGTACGAGCCATCCTAGGTGAGCGATCCCGCAAGTCAGTTACAATCGAATCAAAACTACAGTAAATCGATATGCATCTGAGACTAAAACAAAATTAACATGAATAATAGACTTACCTTATGAAATTTGCCTCAAAATCGATTGCTTAGATCCCTCAGGTTTTCTTAGTTATCCCGTGCGAGGGAATTTTCGAATGAAATTTTTTTAAAAAAAACTTAGGTAGAGACTCTCGATTTTGATTTAGGGTACGATCCGATAAACTAGGCTTGGGTGAATATATGTTGGTTAGATTTGTAATATGTTTGAACTTTGAAGGACAAAATTGATATCAATTATTTCATCATATTTAACATACATAAAAAATAAAATAGTTTTTTTAACAAGGCTATTCTAGCATTTTTAAAGACGACGAAGGTCATTCCAGCTATTCTTCCAAGAGTTCCACTGTGCTTTCTCGTATGATAGGTAATATTTTTTGGAGAAATATTTGTTATCTTATTAGTTATTCTCTAAAATATATTGCTCTTATATAGTCAACTAAAAAATCAGATGGAGGCTCTGATTCTGAATGCTGAATGGAGAAATTGGATCGGATTGTGCAGATCTAGCAATTGAAACGGATCAAAAGTAGATCACATAGATCAAGTGCGGATCAAATGGTTCGAAATATATAGTTGAATGGAAAATGTGGTATATAATCTTTATTTAAATTAAATATATATATAATAAAAATATATATAACTATGGTTATTATATGTATATTATACATAAAATAAACTAAAAAACCAATGCACAGATAGAAAAATCTAAGATCAAGTATTTCAATTTGATCTATAATATATCTATAAATTGATCTCTGATGTATATCATATGATCTTCCTCGGCTATCTGCGCTGCTTCTATGTCACCTAGATTAGTTTCAGATTCTTGTTTTCAAACAAAAAAAAAATACTATATTATTTCTGCAAAATCTTCATTAGAATTTGAAATTCTAATAAGATTATGCAGTCCCATTGTACTTCAGTATTATATCTTGAAAACCTAAAAAATTTCATAGGAAAATCAAACATGTTTGATCGACATTGCTTATAAGTTCTGAAGTTATAAAGAATCGAAATATGTTTCTATGATAAGGGTTACTGTACACTACATTGTAGTATATGCATGTTGAGATGCACTAATACGCTGGGATACTTAAACGCACTTTAGTAATTAGATGACGTTCAAGTTATCTCAGGTACACGTAACAAATGTAAAAGTGATCTTTTAAAGTTTTACACTAATCACTATAAAACCACATAACTTTTTTATTTAACAACTTGTGTTTCTTTCAGACAAAGTAAGCGATGACTTGTCAATAAAACATGACATACGTTCTTAAGTGGTACTTCATCAGCCTCTCATGTCAATGTTTCTAACAACTTTAGACAAATACTATGTTGAACTCATCAAGTATATAATGGCTTTAGGAATTGGCTTCAGGATTCAGATTATTGGTGGCCTATAGCAATAGAAGTTTGGGTCCTAAAATATGGATTGTAACTGAATCTGTTGAATCGGCAAGACTGATAACACTGGATTTTGACCATTTTTATGGATCATTTTAATATCATTTACAGGTGTTTTTACTCCATTTTCAAAGGTTTTCAAAGGATTTCTATATTTCCGGATTTTAAAAGACTTTTCAGGTAATTTGGGATAAAGAGGCACAAAATGGAACAAAAAGACTCTTTTGGATAAATGCAGACCGTCAGAACTCTCATGGAGAGACGAAGACCTTCTCACCGTCTGATCACCCTCAAAATTGGACAACTTATAGAATAATCAACCAGCTTTCAAATGCACTTGTTTTGGAGACATTCCAACGGTAGGATCTCAAGATATTCCATTAGCCCTAGAGCCACGCGGAGTCGGCCAGCAACTCACGCGACCGCGGCCAACAAGCTATTTGCCGCGGTCAGAAGCTTCCCGACCGCGGCATTCAAGCTCCAACTTAAAGCCCACTTATCTGAAGCCCAAAGTCATTCCCAACCTCAATTCCGGAACCCTAGAGACCATGGAGTATTGAAGACTATAAATACATGTCATTTATGTCGTTTTTAGGGAGAACCCTATATACTTTACAGAAACCCTTTTTCCTTTAGCCGTTTTTATGAGATTTTTGTAGAAGATTTTTCAAGTCCGAATTCTTCAATAGAGAAGCTTTCTTTATCTCTTTTCTTTACTGTTTTTCATTACTTTTATTAAAACCAATGATGATGTCGAACTCAGCCATGTCTGAGTAGATCCCGAGTTGGGCTTAGGGTTCCCGAAAGGGGCTCTCATAATCGATTAATACATCTAGGTTTATAGATCTGGGATTTCGACCTGTTCTCTGTTTATTCTTGTTCTTATTGCATGTATGCTTGATTGATCACCTAGTATCTGATCTAGATAGTTAGTGTTGCGAAAGTTTTCATTAAGTATCAGCCCTAGAATGAAACAGGCGATTTTTCTGTAGAAGTGGAAACCTACCTGCGGCGACATCGTGAGTATTGACGAGTCTTGTGCAGCTCTTGCGTTCTCTCCCTTCCAGGGCCAGAGTGGAAACCTACTGGTTAGGGTTGCGAGAAACAGTTGGTTATGATCACGACGGTGACGTAGTCATACCGCCGTACTCTAGCTCTAGAACCCATATATTGTTATCCGTCAATTCCAATCTATCTACCTTAGTGTTAAAACCGATTATGATCCCTTAGAGTTCCCAAAATCTCAGCGTTTTTAGCCATAGTTTACAATTCCATCGATTTTTACTTGCTTTCTTAGACCTGCATTTCAATTTCCTTAGTTCGTTATTTACTTGCTTTATTTACCTTTCATGCGATATTTTACTTGCCTTATTTTTGTTTAGTTCGATATTTTACTTATTCCATTTGCATTTCATTCGATTTTCTTTACTTGCTTTTTAGGATAGATTTATTTGCTTTCTTTTGTTTTAGTTTAATTCGCAAGAAAAACAACCAACCTTTAAAACCAATTTAGTCTAGACATAAAGTTAAAAACCGTAGAAGAATACCAGGCACACAAATCTCTGTGGATTCGATCCCTAAATACTACAACTGATTAGCTGTGCACTTGCGGCTTTCATTTGTTTTGTTAAGGGTAAAACTTGTTCCCTCACGTAGTTGACACGAGCACGCATCAAGTTTTTGGCGCCGTTGCCGGGGATTTGTTTCGCTGCCTTTTGCTATTTTTCTTGTTTTAACTTCTGTTCTAGACACCTGATCTCTAGTTCTTTCTTAAAGTTTTTCTGAACTATCTTTCCCTTCTTTTGTCTTTCTCTGAATTGCATGAATACCAGGCGTAGACCTGCAGGAGACATTCCAATTCTAGACGAGATAGACAGACACGAAAGAGAACTTCGAAGACTTAGACGAATGCAAGGAATGGCCAACGACGACCAGCCTGGAGATCCTATTAATCGAAATTTAAATATGGACCAAGACAGGTCCGAACATGGAGAAAACGAAGAGAATGATCACATAGAAGGTGATCATGCTCGACAAGATGGAGAGGATGATGAGGTTCTTCCAAGAAACCACCAGAACCGAGAGAGAGAAGGACGTGAAGACCTTGATCCACCTATCAATGTAGCCGATGGTGACCACCCAGCAATGCAGCCGAATGAACGCGTTCATCGCCCCATTCCGCCAGCAAATCAACACCGAAGACAAGCCAGGAACCATCACATAGCTGATTTTGATGCACCTACTCAAAATTTTTAGAATCGATCTGCGATTCAAGTACCATTTCCAAACCGGAACGAGTTTGAAGTCAAGCCTCAAATCATCTCATTGGTGAAGCAAAACCAGTTCCGTGGAGTTCCTTCTGAGCACCCAATGGACCATATCGAGCTTTTTGAAGAAATTTGCAGCATGATGAGAACAAACCAAGTTCCACCTGACTATTTAAAGTGTAAGTTGTTCCCTTTTTCATTAGCAGATAAAGCTCACCGTTGGTTGAAGTCTTTGCCTGCATGATCGATTACTAATTGGGAAGAATGTAGAACTGCTTTCCTAAACCACTTCTACACTAAGTCAAGGTCGAACAATTTGAGAACAAAGATCTCAACCTTTCAACAAGGGCCAACTGAATCTTTCTATGAAGCTTGGGAACGTTTTAAGGAGTATGAACGTGATTGCCATCATCATGGATTTCATGGATCAAGCCTGCTGAGCACATTTTACCGAGGTTTGCAACCAAAATACAAACTTTCACTTGATACAGCTAGCAATGGAGATTTTGGGCAAAAGACGATAACCCAAGGAAGAGCTCTCATCGAAAATTTGGCTCAAACCAATAGCAATGACTGTCCTGAATACGATCGATCGATGAAGCAAGCCGGAACAGACAACAAGGAGATAACCGAGTTTAAGAACATGGTGAGCCAGCTTCTGAAGAGCAACAATCGCCCGATCCATGCCTGTGAAACCAACAATGGCGCAGAAGATGAAGGACCTAGTGATATCGATCACATTAATCAAGCATTTCAAGAAGAAGATGTGAACTACGTAGGAGCACTGGTGCCGTACCAAAATCGCTCCAACAACAACTTCAACAACAACTTCCGGAATGCAAATTACAACAATTTCTCTTACCGCAATCCAAATGTGGAGAATCCTCAAGATCAGTACTACCCACCTCAGCAAAAATCCTTCCAAAACAAGTTTCAAGGTGGAAACTTTGGAGGAATAGTACCATATCAACCGCGGCAGCCATATAACTACCAAGGTACGGGTTTTAACAATCAATTTGTACAACAGCAAGGAGTCACGACGAACCAGCTAGCTTCACAAATCGGTAGACTTGAACAGTCAATCCAACAGCTCGTTATGACGAACGAAAAAGCATCTAAAGACGTGAACGTGAAAGTGGACTGCATGTACAATGATCTGAATGGTAAGTTTGAATCTTTATCTTCGAACGTAAAAACGTTAGATGTGCAAGTCGCCCAAACAGCCGACTCTATGAAGAGGCAAAGTGGAGTTCTTCCAGGAAGAGTTGAAGATAACCCTAAGAAGTTTTGCAACGCCATAACCACATTGCCCGAAGAAGAGTCCGGAACCGATGGAAAGAAAGAAGAAACCCCAATCTTTGTACCACTGTACAAGGATATCGATCCCAAGCAGCCACCGTTTAAGGTACCTGAACGATCACCGTTTTAAAGGCTTACCAAAGCCGATGATCCAGGACGTTTTGTTTTCCAGTGT